ACCACATCGCGCGATCACAATCTCAAATTGAAAAACTAAACAAAAACATCAGCTTCACAGCTTTTCAACGGAGTACGTAACTAAGCAGTACATACCTTTGGCAGGGGTGAGGTGGATTTGTAAGGCCTGTTTGACAGCGCCATCAACATAATCTTCAACCACGTTCTTACTGAAAAGAATATCCACGGGAAAAGTTCGGCCTGGAATCTGAAATTTAAACGAAACGCGTTATTTCATTATAGTGCTACTTTTGCTTCTTCAGGGCAAGAAAAGCGGCATTTTTAGCTCATCAGAGTGCATATGAGTAGCCTGAGACCGCAATTACGAGCTGAGGCTTTGCGAGCATTTATGATAGGAATCGAAAACAATAGGAGTTCATTATCAGTCTCACGAAGATCAAAATTTTGCCAACAGCGAGAACTATTTCTCCGACCAGCAAGGTGGGTAATTTAGGTTTAGCAGGACACGTAATGATAAAGCAGAGATAAAACATAACAACGCTTACCTGAAATGTTGGAACATTGCCAAAGAAGTCGGCAAATTTTTGAGCATCCATCGTTGCGGACGTCACAATGAGTTTCATATCTCTTCGACGAGAAATTACCTGAGTGTGTAAGACAAACCCGCTGGTCACTTATTTTATTAAAATTGTGGACCACGTACAAGTGATTTCTTTACGTCAACAACTAAAACCATGACACATTAAACTAGCATTCGGTGGGCGAGGGTAAAAAAAACTGGAAGAAGGGAACAAGATAACTGCGCAGGTAGAGAAAAACTGCTACACTGTATCTATTTGAGCATGATTGAGAAAAGCTCAAAAACATACTTAGATCACATGATACAGAGCTATAACGTCTAGAATGACTTGACAAATGGCAAGATAACATTAGTGAAAGAAGAATGACTAAAGAAGGCGAGGGTGAAAATAGTTAACGCGTATCTTGTGGACAAATGATAAGACGCAAAGCTGCCAGTTGCAAATTTCTTTCAGTTCAAACTCATTATAAATTCTTGAAAGAAAATGGATTTACATGTAACTAAATATAAGTAAATCGCTTTTCTAACCGACTTGTTAGAGTTCATACATGTAACTTTTACAATGTATATAATAAAATTGGTAAACATCCTGCAACTCTAACGTGAGGTCAAAGTTGTAGGCAATTTTCTGTGAAAGTGCTAGTTTTGGTTCGATTTTTTTGCATAAAGCAGGGAACATGACATCTCACCTCTCTTAACAGACCAAACAGCACATCCGTGTTGAGTGATCTCTCGTGAGCCTCGTCCATTATAATAACACTGTAATGATCAAGATCTGATTCACGGAGTGACTCTCGCAATAGAATACCATCTGTCATGTACTTGATAATAGTATTCTAAAAATAACATGGAGGCAAACTATTATTATTACATTTATTATTCAAGTAAAAGAAAAGAATGTTCGCCCAGAAAAACCAATTTTTTTTTTTTATCGTCATGATTTGACACGTCGATCTATCTTCGAAACCTCTCTACAAAAGTTAAGTCTGTGCTCGACTGAGACAACTAGCCCATCACGGCCGGCGCTTATCTCTGGTTTCCGTGGCATTAATCGACTAGGAGTATTTCTACTTTCCCTGGATGAGATGCTAGTCCATCTCAGGGTTAACCCCAGCATTAAATTCGCCGTTACCCATTTATACACCTGGGTGGAGTAGCGTGTCTTGCCCAATAAGGCAACAACTTGAACCTGGACGGCTTGATCCAGAGTTCAGCGCAATAACCATTAGAGAGGCTCAACCAAAGCAAGGAAAACTATTTTCAACTGAGATGTAAGTTTCTCACCTCTGAAGTGACATCTTCAAATCGAATGGCATACCCAACTTCTTCACCAAGTTTGCAGCCGAACTCTTCGCTGACACGCTTAGCAACGGACATGGCTGCCACTCGACGAGGCTGTGTACACCCAATCATGCCATAGTTTGTGTATCCGTCTTCGTGCATATACTGCAAGGTCAGAGAAGCAGTCATTGCTGATTCAAATACATCAAATAAACAGCAGCAACAACAAATTTCACATATACCGGCCAGGAAAAGCCAATTATTCACGAGCCGAGTTCATCAAGACAAATTCAGTAAATATCGAAATCGCAATTTGTGGCATTGATTCTGTGGCAGTCGACTTCACTGGAAGCGTGCATTCATTTCTTTATTGAGTTCCAACCCCTGCAATACAAGACTGAACTATGTGAAAGCTACTGATTTCTCTGTGAAGACAACAAAACTTAGAATCCCAGACTAAGTTGACACTCAACTGGAACCCAAAAGAGAGTTCACTCCTACCTGAGTAAGTTGCGTTGTTTTCCCAGACCCTGTTTCACCAATGACAATGACAACTTGATTGTCTCTCACAATGTTCAATAGCTGAGAAGAAAGAGCTGAGGTTTCAGTTTTCTACACGATTATGATAATAATAAAAGATGCTTGCCCACAAACTTACACATGAAGCACTAGAATACTTGGCTCTTTTCAACTCTCAACAGGGATCCAGTTTTGAGACGTAGGATAAAATCGCAAGAAATTCAAATACATAAAAATGCGCTATTGCATCAATTGAGTGTCTAACCTCTTCTCTGATGGCAAATATGGGTAAATACTGTTTCTGTTCTCTGAGTGATTTCTTAGCAGCAAACTCGCTGCTAGCTTCACTTTTGTCTTTCATGTGTTCAGCAAACTTTTGGTTATCCTTGTAATCTTCTTCACCTCCTTTGGTGTCCTTAAACAACAATCAAAATCAGTGAGAACTGTACATGTAATTAACCTGTTTACTTCCAAAAAAAAGATTAACAGAAAATTTCTCCTCACAATATTCAACATAATTATTGTCAAACAAAAAGGTGATGGGAATTCGTAACTAATTAAAGCATACCGCATTGCTGCAAAGGAAAGCTCTTGGCCTTACAGTTATATCTTGATATGTCGAAATTCGATTCAAATAAAATATTTCCCTGGAAAAGGGATTGTTATGCTCTTTCTCTGCTTGTGTATTGCTTTATTCAGAGACGGCCTAGGACCGACAGGGGAGATATTAGTACAATGCAGTCGACCCCTCGTGTAAGGGTTTCGCATGGATCACAAGACCTACCAAGCCATGTGCTTGTCATTGCGTCCCTGTTAGTCTGCGGTGCAACACGTGTTTTCTTACTCCCTCCTCCTCCCCAGGTCCTATCCACGGTTTTCCTTTCAAGTATGTTTTATTGTATGCGTTTTTAGTGCCACACCTTTACTGGGCCAAACTTCTTATGAAAGATTGTTAAGGAAATTTGATGTTTGAATAAAAGCGGCTATGGGCCTTTGCCCATAGCCATATTAGCCTAATCATTTGATGTGTGTTATTATAGTAGCCCAGTAAACAGAACTCAGGCAAGGCAGCACTGGGGTGTGTTCTTTTGGGGTGGAGTAAAGGGCATAAAAAGTTTTTTGGCTTGTTCCTGTACACTCCAGGTGCCTTCAACATTTGTTAGTCACAACCATATTTGGCAGTCATGTGATTGAGACCTCAAATGGCCTAACTGTTGAAACATTACTTGGAATGTACTAATGTGCAAATAGAGTTGATGTGCAGATTTATTACAATTCGCATTGTTAGAAGTTTTTTGACTTCAGAGACGCATTTTTTTGACACTCTGCTAAAAAGATTTTCATTTGTTTGTGTAAATCATAACCCCATTATGATAGTGGAGAATTTATTGCTTCCTAATTCAGAAAGACTTTTTGACCGTTATCTTTCTTCAGCTCTAGATTTGCAGTTTAGATCATTTTTTTACCAAAATGAGTCAGTTCAATTATTGAACCAGAGTTGCAATTTAATAAATTGACGTAAGTTTTCCATGCGCCTGAAAGTCTGTGGATCCGCATGGCGATACTGTAGCCTCGTGGATCAACAGCTACTTTGACATTGTTATGACAAAATTCATTGTCAATAACAGGACAGACGCATGAAAAACTGAATCAGATGTCAATTTGTTTTATTACGACAACAAATTGTCAAATTGTCTGTTCTTGCTTGTTGACACATCACACAAATTATAAATTCATGTGTCTGTCTGCTTTTTGACAATGAAAATTAGCCAATGAGTGCGCGAGAATTTCTGCAATTATTGTGAAAATAGAGCATTGTTCTACAGTCCTATCCCTCAGGTGTGGGTATATTGCAATTGATATGGTCAAGAAGTCTACTCGCAAATACGGTCAAGTGATGACTTTGCAGCCTGTAGTTTCAAGTGTACAAAACTTAAGATCTTTCAGATCCTCAAAGCATTACCAATAAAATGAATATAATACCTCCTCCTCTTCCTCTTTTTTGACTCCCAGAATATTCCCAAGTTTTGTTCCTGCCAGCTCCCAGTGTTTGTGTTGGGCTTTTTGTCGCTCTTTCTGTTCCCTGTGTACACGGACAACATGACATCCTTTTCTTGAAATCATGGCCATGTCTGATGTAGAATCCTAAAACAGGTTAAAAATTACTTGTTATGCTGTGGTAGTCATCTATGGATAGGGACTATAAATGTATATGAGAAGACTAATGCACAAACGGCTATTTATATAGCTTAATGATGCCAAGCCTCCAGAAAGATTTATTTTTATGTGTTGATACAATGCAGACCAACAGATGCTTGTGACACATGTACAGTATATCCTATACTATATCGTATATAGCCTAAAAGACAGAAATATACAGTAATAGTTATGTACCTTGACTGGAATAACTGGTTCTGGTTGTTTTGTGAAGACAATCCGTCCATCCAGGAAAGGCGGGACTATGTTATGAACCAGGAGGTGTACTCTCGCTTCCTGGTCATCTTCAAAATCATCATCAACCTCCAACTTCTGCACTACGCCACTTGTCAGCATCCTGTTAGTCTCCCACAAGTCATTATCCTGAAAAAGAGAGTTGGACAGTTTAATTTGGCATTGGCAATTGGGAAATGAAGGATCGAATGGTACAAACTACACGCAATAATATTCATTTTCAACAGGATGCAGCTTGTCGACAGGCCACTAACACTGATGGAAGCTCTACTGCAGCAGCCAATAACTCCATTTCAATGATTTTGAACAACGTACTTTAGTTTGCAATACATGCATGGTCAAATTAACATGCACCTACTGAACATCATACATGTGCAGGTACAGTGGAACCCCATTTACACGGTCACCAACAGGCCATGAACATTTGGCCTTGTTAACAGGGTGGCCATGTTAACGGGGTAAGGTCAAATCTCACAATGGGTCTAAATTGAGTGACATCTTAACAGATATATCACAATTGCACTTCATCTAAACAACTGTTCTTTAGTAAGAATTTGGAATGCAGAATTGTTATACATGTAAGTTTTTAAAAAATTGAAGTTTTAATCAGTACAGACAGTATTAACAAAGGAAAGATGAACATAACTCCTTTGAGTGATTGTATAAATGGGGTAAAATTATAAAAGATTGTACAAGTTGGGATTTTAGAATGTGGCAATTGGCCATATTAACTGGGTGGCCACATTCAGGATTTTCTTATAAGAAAATGTATATTGGGCATTTCCCTGGGACAAAAAAAGTGTCCCTAACAACAAGGTGACCGTTAGGTGGGGTTCCACTGTACATGAATGTACAGCCTTCTTAGATAATCAAGGCATACAATATAACATGTGCTGTCCGTATCTGAGACTATCCGTCATGTTCAAGTCTGCTTATTTAGCTGTTATTAACCGAGCAGGAGGTCTGTATGGGAGAATCTTGACCGAGGTCGTGAGTACAGACCGAACGCAGTG